CCAGCAAAGCGCGTTCAGCTCTGGGGCTGAGTGCAACTCCCACGCCATATATTCCACGAGTCATCGCTTCTGGGTCACCAGACACACGGACACACCAGACACACACACCAAAATCCTAAAGTTTGGTACGTCGACAATAGGGGGGATGACAGAAGACGATGGCCCTAACCAGTAAATTGAGGTTGATTCGTCTAACTTTCTTCGCAGAGTGGGAAATGAAAAAGCTGGTACTGGATGCGATAGATTCAGTGTAAAGACATTAGTGATTCGTGAACTATTGCTGTGTCTCGTTCTGAGGTCACCAACCGTCAATAAAGCAAACGCAAACACGCTTGAGTTTACTGATCAGTGCCTCAACACTTCGCCGCCACGTCGCAGACCGACAACCTTTGGGCCGTTTCCATGAAACATATAACATAAAAACAGGAACTCTGCGTAGCAGGTGATGGTCTGATATGCGAAGTATATGTCCCGACCAACATAACATGTGGATTGGGAATAAACGATATACTTCACACGAGCCTTTTCTAAAAAAAAACGTATGGTGCAAATAGACAATTTCATTCCGAGGTTCTCAATAGACTCGCGAAACGTCTCGGAGACACGAATGGTTAAAATTGAAAATACTCCTGAAGAAAGTGTTCATTATCATCACCACCATCATCTAGTGGCTTCAGCACACGTAGGTTATTTAAAGGCCCCCAAAATAGCGTTGTAAGGTCCGTCCACGACAGGCAAACTGTCCGGAGAGTTGGTTCAGCTTTCGCCCGGAGACAGGTGGCTGTCCACTTACGTGAAATTAAGCAGCACACGGCGCAGCCTGTAGGTAATGTTAGATTTCAGCTGCATATCAAAGAGACTGGGCAAGAGTGCAAGCCGGTGAGAACTGTGCATGCTGGTGCGAAAATCTTTGGATCAAGTGATGGGGAATGGACGTACAAACCAAGTGCATTGTCAACTTAGGCGCTTTCGAGCTTCTGCTGGGAAGAAACTAGAAAAATGTCTATCATTCACGCGCAAGTCAAGGCCTGTCGGTTCCTCTTCGTAATGGAATTTTACCGTGATATCTGCGGTGATAAAGTGGCACAAACACATCCGACCAAGTGTTAAAACACAATCCATGTGAGGTATGTGTTGAGTGTTGTTCATTGCCCATAACCCCAGATCTCACCTAATCATCATATCACTTCAACGTCCGTCAAATAAATGAAAAAATCGTTCAGCTGTAGCATCTTTCCGGTGTTTAGCTGCCATGCTACCCAAAGGAAGCACGAGGGCTGGGATACTGCCAGCTTGCCCAAGCCTAGACAGGGGAAGTCGAGAGGCAGAGGTCTGGTTCGAACCACGGACCTTCTGGTCAGTAAATTCGCGCTCTAACCACTTGGGCCATCTCGCCCATCTCGTCCGTGGTAGAACAAACTAATTCAAGGTGTGCATTCACAGTTTAGGTGACTGACTTCTTTATGCAACTCTTTCACTATTCATTGCACTGATAAGTCAGGACAACAAATATTTCAGTAAGAATAATCTTCATTCGTTGAATCGTATGGTTTGCGACTACGGTAGTTGAGTAGACAAATGTAACATCTCACCACTTTAGACAGAAACTCTGATTCTACTGAGATTCACAACAAAGTGGAAGATGTTCATGGTGATTCATTAAAGTGACCACGACACGTTGGCAGTCGCGAGATTCAAACTCTAGCCATGGGTTTGAATTATTACACTCCAACGAAGTCGGCTCCCACAACAAAGCGACTGCATCCAGGAAGAACTGTGCTTCAATTAGGTAAGGGTAGAATCCACTGGCTTACTGCCAGTTGAACACATTGTATGCCTTGTGCGTGGCAAACTGTGCCATTAGTTTGTCAAAAGAAGCCTTTTCTGTTCCCCGAAATTTTCAAAGCATTGTTGGGTAAGGAAAGATCAACTACGGCTGAAAATCCATGAAATCCCGTGTAAAGGGACAACCTCTGTTTCCCGGAATTCTCAGTTGTGTATCAAAGCAGCCTGCAGGCCTATGGGGAACTGCTCAGAGGTGTGTTCGAGTGAGAAAATAATGAAGTAGGTTCAGCTTAGCAACATATCGTTGGGTCCTGAATAGGAGTACATTGTCTTAGTTAAGTCAATGGGTCCGAGTGGTGTGTGCAAATCTTATGTAGAATATTTGGGAAGAAAAGCTTCCCTGGAATACAAGGTTGAAGGACACAGAGCAAACGCTCCTCATTTCAATGGGTCATTGACTTCCTATGCTGTTCTCGAAACTGATTTACTGATGTTCGAGAACTAGGTGGAAATTTAGTCCCAAGTCCCAAGAAAAAATCCAAATCGATTGGGAAGAAAAATCTCCAGTACTACCACTAAATCATTAGTAATTCGATCACAGGGGAGAAAAACTCAGGTTACAACGGCCATCCATCAGAAAAGTCGTCACTTCTGAGGAGATTTCGTCCTGTAAATGAAGCCAATCCATGTTGAAAAGCCGAGAAGCACTCTACGGCTGTTTCATCCTTGTTGGGAATCACCATCAGTGCGCATCTCACGAAACTCCGGAGAGCCTCGAACCTGTGACCTGCAGGCTAGCAGTGTGAACACTTAACCGCTCAGACACAAGCGGATAATCGGCGGTGTGGTTAACTCGCACTTAGACAGGATATACCGCCGCTCATTCTTCAATCACGGGATCCACATCACGCAGTCACACGTGCTGACAGGCTCCTCCAGCAACGACTGCTGCTGAGCAATGACTGTGCTGTGTCCTGCATCACACTGATTGAATCACACCGTTCACCAACCACGCGTAGGCCAGAGGTATAGACGATTTCGAAATACTCTAGAGATTCAAGAGTTGCACACTTCGCGATTCTTAATATGGATGGAACAACTGTACAGTGTCTCTCAGATTTTCAGGTTCTAAGTATAGGGTGAAATCAGAGATATGGCTTGAACGAATAGTGTAGCGTACCATTCGATCAACATAAAAACCAAGTTGTCTGATTGGTCAGGAAAAAAAGCGTCCAGCTGTAACACTCGGAGCCTAGCTGCCATGCCACTTGAAGAAGGCGCGAGGGCTTAGATAGTCCCACGTCGCCCGAGCCTGGACAGAAGTCGGGGTGCAGATGCTGGGTTCGAACCACGGACCTTCCGATCAATAAGTTCGCGCGCTGAGCCATCTCTGCAGATGCTGGTTCGAACCACGGACCTTCCGATCAATAAGTTCGCGCGCTGAGCCATCTCGAGCACAAGAGTTGCTGGAGCTCATCGTCCTCTACAGGAGATTTTAAACAAACGTTGGTAAACTAACTTGAGAGATGCACTAGGGAGTGCGAACACAGAGGTATCTCGAAAAGGAATTTGTAAAACCGCATCCACATCGCTTTAGTCTGGACCGTCCTCTTTCTGTCTGGCACGATTCTTCCGGTTGATTTACACTGCTCGTTGTGTGAACATGTTCAATTGTTCAGATGAGGTCACTTAGATTCATCCAGTGTGTGCTGATGGAATGATAACACGCTGGCGTCGCATATCAGAGATCCGAGGTCCAACCTCGGAATAGCTGAGCTCGTGGAGTGAAGCTCGAATTCGGTGTTCCTTCGCTTTTCTGTCAACAAACCAAAATGACCGCGTCCGGACTGTTCCACTCAGAGCCATGTAAATACGAGTCCAAGAAAACCGGTACGAAGATAAAGCCCTCTCTGAAGAGAAGCAAACCTCCTGAGGGAAGTGTATCGAACACTATTAGTTGGAAGTTCACCTCCTCCTCCACGAAGAGGCTCCCGAAAAAATAAGCCAAAAGCTCCTCACCACGTCAGGAAAGATTACTGTCGTTCCATTTGGACGAGCGCCAATTGTTCGACAGAGAGCTGCTCGCCTACAGGGACACCATACCACATGAGACATGACTGAAACGGATGTAACCGTTAACCAATCGTGGAACAGACGGTCAAACTCTTGCAATTATAGCTCCAGAACCACGTTGATATGAAACGATAAGGCGTCAATATAACGTCAAAGATCAATCTGAAGAGGATAATGAGGAGGGAAGTCGAATATAAATATGACAAACGTCCGTCGCACTTTGGTTACGGGTGGTCCAGTCAGGTTAAAAATGCACCAAATCAAGATCGGCATGCTTTTGAAAATATCCTCCTTACCTGGAGAATTAATTCGCGCTTGTCCTGTGGAACATCACCGTGAAACACGTGACAGTCAGCGCTCATTGCTGAGTGAGCTGCTAACTCATCTGCATCTTTTTTCCGTTCACAGAATACGATACATCGCGACTTTTTTCGAGTGCAGTAGGTTCGAATAACATCCGCTAGCGTCGCAGCACGCTCTTGGAAAGGGCAAGGTAGGGCGAGGTGCTAGGGGAGACAAATTGGTAATAATCCACGATGAAAAAGAGAACTTACCGTCACATTCAAGGCTGTTTTGTTCTGTTGCTCCTCGATGAATGATACGTGGCGTGTATCGTCAGAGAGATAACGTTTAGCCACAGATGACACCCACGGAGGCATGGTAGCAGAGAAGAGCAATGTTTGAGGTTTTGCATCAGATGTCTGCCTTGACTCACTTTCGTACATATGTGCGATGATAGACTCAACGTCTTTGTGGAAGCCCATATCCAACATTCGATCTACTTCGTCCAGAACAACGTGCTTCACAGAGTCCAAGCAAAGAACCCCGCGTTCCATTAGATCGATTACCCGACCCGGAGTGCCGACAAGGACATCTACACCCCGGCGCAGGGAGTTACCTATATTTACGGACGATGAGTAGTGGGAGGAGCAATTTACATTGAGGACCAAGTGGAACTCCGCCATAGACTGCGAGAACTGAGAAATCGTCTTCACAAAGTGATTGAAAATCCGAGGAGATCTGTGTCACCAGCTCTCTGGTTGGCGCGAGAATCACCACCTTGGGGGATCGACCTTTTTCGGTATGTCCATCACAGTTCTTCAAAAGCATTTCTGTGATTGGTATGGTGAACGCAAGGGTTTTCCCAGTGCCAGTTCCTGGAGGAGTTAGGCATAAATAGACCATTATGACTTACGTGCCAGTACTACGACATCTGCGCCGGCCATTATCATATCGAATGTCTTATACTGAACGGGAAATAATTCTTTGATCCCTCGATTTTGCAAGCGTCGAACGACTCTCAGTGATATGCTATACCGAGTAAAATCTCCTTCACTCGAAGTGGGCGAAAGTGACGCGACCATTGTTGCCCCTTTATTTGGATCTGGAAGAAAAGTGAAAGCAGCATTATCTGCAATATCCTCATAGACATCATCATCATCATCATCATCATCTCCCCATCCTGAAGGCGAGTAGCACCGACAGCACCCAAGCGTTTCGTGATCTCCTTCATACTCCTCCGCCAAGTCAAGGGTTGGCCACCTTTTCGTTGACGCCACTCTGAATTGGGGATGGGAAAACGGTGGGGGGGGATGCGGAGGGGGCAACAGCCTACTGGAACTGGAAATGGAACCG